CTGCAATTTAAAACACGAGCCTAGCAGATTCCCCTGCAGTGAATGTTTGGTGAATGTCACATTCACCACTTTATAAATGTCCCTAAGTACAAAGTGTTTTCCTAGAAAGTAGGACATTTTACTGCAAAACCCAGTTCAGCATATGTTTAATATATACATTTATATATCTATATGCACTGTGTAAAACAGACATGTTTTGCATCTAGGTCAAATATCTTCTAAAAATACATGGTATTTTAATCCTGCTTGGATTGCAGATGTCGAAGTCAGCACAAGAATACTGATCATATGCATTCCTGTTAATAATTTAGTTGTTACGTTTTCATTACGAATTATAGGAATATAACATTTTATTAAATTGTATATAAATCTTAAAATTTTTTTGTGTGAAAAAAAATTTCCTGCCATGCTGTCTTCACAGTAGTTACACTGCTTTAAAATCTCACTGCTGCTCTTTCTTAATATACCACCTCCACATAACACCTAATCTAGGCTTATAGCATCTTCCTCTCACTGGGTGACACCAGGCCATAAGCATGCTCAGTGTTGACATTGGAGGGTACTCATTCCCACCTGGAACTACAAGCCAATGTGCTAACACATGTCTCAATGACAAGTACCACTTTGTAGTGTACAGTGGGCAACACTATATCACAGCTTCCTCATGCTAAAAGTGGAAAAAAAACTAAAATGACACCCAAATCTATCTTTCTACCCCTCAGCTCACTCTATCAGTCTCCACACACATCACTAATTTACTAGCAGACATATCAGTCTGGATGTCACACCACTTCTTCAAACTCAATCTATCCAAAACCGAACTCATAATATTTCCTCCCCCACATGACTCTTCCCCTGACTCCACATGCCAAAAGGTATTAGGCATTATCCTGGACTCTAAACTATACTTTTGGCCCCAAATCCATTCACTGACCAAAGCTTGCCGCCTCAGCCTACGCAACATCCCCACAATGCGCCCCTTCCTAACCAATGACCTCACAAAGTTTCTAATTCACTCCCTAGTCATCTCCTGCCTTGACTCCCTCCTCATTGACTTACCTCTACATAAGCTATCCACTCTTCAGTCCATCATGAATGCTGCTGCCAGACTCATCCACCTTACCAACCGTTCAGTGTCCACTACCCCCATCCACTGGCTTTCGCTCACCCAATGAATTAAATTCAAAACATTAACAACTTACAAAGTCATCCAACTTGGCCCCTAGCTATATCACTAACCTAGTCTCAGAATACCAACTAAATTGTTCTCTTCGCTTCTCCCAAGACCTCCTGCTCTCTAGCTCCCTTGTCAGCTCCTCCCATGCTTGCCTCCAGGACTTTTCCCAAGTTTCTCCCATCCTTTGGAAATCTCTATCTCAATTTGTCTGACTGTCTTCGACAATAAGACATGCTGCCATATCTGCCTGCTCATGGTCTCCAACTGAATGTACACTGCACATGCGCAGCTCATCATGCATTCCTGACACACTCCAGCTGTGCCAGAATAACTGACTCCCACACCACCCTTGGGCTAACCAAAAGGCACCTGAAGAAAACCCAGGGAGAAAAGATGACAGCGGCTGGTGAGGGATGTAACCATCTCATTTCTGAAAGGTGAAGGTATTTTCCAGAGTTTACTTCCACTTTAAGCCTGCCTACTCAATGACATGATTGACAGCACTTCCCGTCTTTGGGATCACATCTCACCTGCATATTGAGTCCACATCTGAGCAGTATGCAAGGAATGCTGGGAAATGTAGCTGTGTGGGCTAAGAAAAAGTGCATAGCACAGATGCCCATAAATGGAAGTAGCGGAAATTACATACACGGAGGCAGGTTTTCGGTCATCAAGAAAAGCATTTTTGCAAAAGTAGATAAAAATAATCCTTCTTTTGAGACACGCATTAAAAAGATCGGACAATTTATAGGAGAGAGTTTAGTTCTATATTTTTAAAAACAATCCATCTTGAACTTAGTAGAACCATTTTTAGTAGATTCACTAAGAGACAGTTCACACCATGAATTGCACCTGTGGAATTTACATGCGATCAAAGTGCAGTGTGATTTCATCCCATTGTTTTGAATGGGCTTAAATTACACCGCATTAAAAGTAGTACATACACTACTTCAGGCATGTCAAAAGTCCGGCCCGTGGGCCATTTACGGCCCGAGGGTCGGTTTAATACGGCCCTCCATGTCAGTGTGTCTTATGGAGCGAATATGGAGCGGCCGGTCCGGTATTTCCACCGTGGCCATGTCAGAATACTGGGCCGGCCGCTCAGCTCTGCAGCGGGACCTTACCTGTTCCTCTATCCAGCGGCGCGCTGTCTTCCCGGCTTCTGTAGTGTGGGCGCTGGGCATGACAGCCGGGTGCCAAGTGCACATGCGCAAGAAGCAGTGCTTTTTGTGAATGGTAAGGCGGTACCTGGGACACATGACATATCCCAGAAGCAATCACAAAGCGCAAGTGCTTCTCGCTCATGCGCACTGGGCACCCGGCTGTCATGCCGAGCGCCATTACAGAAGCAGGGAAGACAGCGCGCGGCTGGATCGAGGAACAGGTAAGATCAAAGAACAACTGCGGAAGTAAGAGCGGGTACCTGTCAAATTCAGGTACCCGCTCCCCACCTCCCCAAAGGTCAGCAGTCATCTGTACTGTCCGCAGTCTCTGGTCATCCCTGTGCTGTCCGCAGTCTCTGGTCATCCCTCTGCTGTCCGCAGTCTCTGGTCATCCCTGTGCTGTCCGCAGTCTCTGGTCATCCCTGTGCTGTCCGCAGTCTCTGGTCATCCCTGTGCTGTCCGCAGTCTCTGGTCATCTCCTGTACTGTGTCTGCAGTCCATTAGTTCAGAATTTTTTTTTTCCTGTTTTCTGCCTCTAAAAACCTAGGTGCGTCTTATGGTCAGGTGCGTCTTATACGGCGAAAAATATGGTAACTTGGCATAAAATAATTTATTTGCATTTAATTGTAATGGTTCAAAGAATGTTTGGAAAAATGTTCGGCCCTCCACCGTGTTCACTTCATCCAATCTGGCCCTCTTTGAAAAAAGTTTGGACACCCCTGCACTACTTGTATAAAATGCAGCACTTACGGAAAACATGGTACTACTGTACCATGTGATGCAGTGTAGGCAAATGCACAGCGTTTGCGACCTGCATTTGGGGTGTTGTTAATAGTTTGCTTCGTACCAGCAGCAATTTCTGCCCTCTACTCCACTGCGCAACCATGCAGAAGTTTACACGGATGAGGAAAATTCCAATGACCACTGAAAAATTGATTGCAACGCAGAATAGTCCGGATGGTGGAAACAGCCCCAAACATGTTCCAGCAAGACATTCTTAGGGAATACATACAGAAGTTAAATTACCAAGAGATGGTCTTCCAATACACTGAGTTGTCTAAAGTTTTGCACCAGCAGAGAATGAGCAATAACCTCTCAGTGACCATTCTGCAACAATTTCGGCCATGACTGTATGTGCATTAACCGACCAGTGGCCAGTCTACATTGTATGTTGCATTAGCCTCTCAATCACAAGTTTCAGTGAAAGAAACAGTTACCTTCAAGTGATCTGTCTAGTGCAGGGTTTCTCAACTATGGTTCCTCCAGAGGTTACTAAGGGTTCCTTGAGCAGTTAGCAGATTCTGCCTCCCACTGACACAATTGATTTTTTAAGGTATCTAAAGGAATAATTCTTTCCAAAAACCACAAGTGTAAGAGCCGTTCATATACATGCGGATTGGCATATATGACATGACATCTGAAATACCATTGTTACCTATGATGCCTGTTCACACACAGTTGTGTTCAAAATAATAGCAGTGTGTTGAAAAAAGTGAATAAAGCTCAAAATCCTTCTAATAGCTTTTATTTCCATACACACAAATGCATTGGGAACACTACACATTCTATTCCAAATCAAAACATGAAGAAAAATATATAAAATTTGTGTTGTTCCTCTAAAAAAATTGAAGAAAAGTGAATATTAGACTGTTAAAAAAGAAGCAGTGTTTGTATTCTTCTTTACAAACTCAAACATTCACTATATAAACTGAAAAATGTTTGAAGATTTTGCTTTCCTTTGAATCACTTAATGAATATTTAGTTGTATAAGCACTGTTTCTGAGAACTGCTGTACATCTGTGTTGCATGGAGTCAACCAACTTCTGGTACCTGTGAACAGGTATTCCAGCCCAGGATGATTGGACTACATTCCACAGTTCTTCTCTAATTCTTGGTTTTGCCTCAGAAACTGCATGTTTGATGTCACCCCACAAGTTTTCTATTGGATTAAGATCCGGGGATTGGGCTGGCCACTCCATAACGTCAATCTTGTTGGTCTGGAACCAAGATGTTGGACGTTTACTGGTGTGTTTGGAGTCGTTGTCTTGTTGGAACACCCATTTCAAGGGCATTTCCTCTTCAGCATAAGGCAGCATGACCTCTTCAAGTATTCTGATGTATTCAAACTGATCCATGATCCTTGGTATGCGATAAATAGGCCCAACACTGTAGTATGAGAAACATCCCCATATCATGATGCTTGCGCAACCATGCTTCACTGTCTTCACAGTGTACTGTGGCTTGAATTCAGTGTTTGGGGGTCGTCTGACAAACTGTCTCCGGCACTAGACCCAAAAAGAACAATCTTACTTTCATCAGTCCACAAAATGTTGCGCCATTTCTCTTTAGGCCAGTCAATGTGCTCTTTGGCAAATTGTAACCTCTTCAGCACATATCTTTTTTCCAACAGTGGAACTTTGCGGGGGCTTCTTGCAGATAGCTTGGTTTCACATAGGCGTCTTCTAATTGTAACAGTGCTCACAGGTAACTTTAGACCTTCTTTGATCTTCCAAAAGATTTGGACTCAATGACACATTGCCAGCTCATAACCTGATACTCTTCTCCTGCACATACTCCTCCTTCTATAATACTCTTTTACAAACACTACTCCTTGTCATACCTCAGGACTTCTCTACTACACATACTGCCCATTTTCATATCTTCCATACCCCTCTCCTGCACATATGTTTCTCCTGTAATACCCTCCAGACTTTTATCCTGCACATAATTCCCCCCCTAACGCCCTCTGCATTCCTCTTCTGCACATATTGCCTGCTGCCATTCACTGCAAACTCTCCTACTGTATATATTGTCCCTGTCACACTTTTCCTTCCTGACCCCCACATACAATGTATATCACCCCTGGGATACACTTGTCTCCCACCTCCCATCATACAATTTGCAATCCATTTCTGTGCATACTGCCTGCTGTCACACCCTCCTACATATACTGTCTGCTGTTTTACCCTGTGCACTCCTCCCATAATACTGACCCCTGTTATACCTTCTTCAATGCCTCCGTTAAACATACCGCCCGCTGTCATACTCTCCACACCCCTCTCCTACACATACTGCCTGCTGTCATACCCTCCACACACCTCTCCTGCACATACTGCCCGCTGTCATACTCCCCACACCCTTCTCCTACACATACTGCCTGCTGTCATACCCTCCACAGACCTCTCCTGCACATACTGCCCATTGTCATACCCTCCACACACCTCTCCTGCACGTACTGCCCATTGTCATACCCTCCACACACCCTCTTCTGCACATACTGCCATTGTCATACCCTCCTGGCAGCTGGCTCTACTCCTGCACATACTGACCGCTGTCATACCCTCCACACACCTCTCCTGCACATACTACTCGCTGTCATACCCTCCACACACCTCTCCTACACATACTGCCCACTGTCATACCCTCCACACACCTCTTCTGCACATACTGCCCGCTGTCATACCCTCCACACACCTCTCCTGCACATACTGCCCGCTGTTATACTCTCCACACCCCTCTCCTGCACATACTGCCCGCTGTCATACCCTCCACACACCTCTCCTGCACATACTGCCCGCTGTCATACTCCCCACACCCTTCTCCTACACCTACACATACTGCCCACTGTCATACCCTCCACACACACCTCTCCTGCACATACTGCCCTTGTCATACCCTCTACACACCTCTCCTGCACATACTGCCCATTGTCATATCCTCCTGGCACTGGCTCTACTCCTGAACATACTGACCGCTGTCATACCCTCCACACACCTCTCCTGCACATACTGCCCGCTGTCATACCATCCTGGCAGCTAGCTCTACTCCTGCACATACTGAACGCTGTCATACCCTCCACACACCTCTCCTGCATATACTACCCGCTGTCATACCCTCCACACACCTCTCCTAGACATACTGCCCACTGTCATACCCTCCACACACCTCTTCTGCACATACTGCTTGCTGTCATACCCTCCACACACCTCTCCTGCACATACTGCCTGCTGTCATAGCATCCTGGAAGCTGGCTCTACTCCTGCACATACTGACCCATGTCATACCCTCCTCACTCATGCTACCTGCTGTCATACCATCCAGACTCCTCTCCCATATATAATTCCCCCCACCCAACCTCCCCCATAATACCCTATGTGCACACACATACACACATTCACTCAGGTTGAACTGATGTATTTCTTCAACTTTTCCAACTATGTAACTATACTGCTTGCCATGATATTCTCTGATTTCTCTCCTGTCTATACTGACCGCTAAGACACCCAACCTTTACCCCTTTACCACTTCAGAACAGGTACAGTACATCTTTTCTGGTTAGAATATTAAGGACATCAGGGGGACACAGCGAAGAAGAAAAATGCCTCATTCAAGTGGGCGATAAAGTGTTTCAGACACAAATCATTGCTCAGCACTTTCACACGTGTCAGAGTTCATATTACACACTCATTTCATCTTGGGGGTGAATACAAATGTCATTTATGCCCATGTGACATATGTATACATTAGTAGAAGGAAGCACTTCAGTGCATTTTTTTTATTTGCAAATACTAATCCAAACCCTATTATATATTGTGACATTTCAACAGAGAAGTTACAATACGTTTGTGAAAAGTTAATCAAAATCACTTGCTTGTTTTTATTATTTATTGTTAAACACTTTTGCTTAGCATGCAAAATGCCTTGGTGTGTTGAATACACTGAAACTGAATGCGACGAGGACTGTCCAAAATGTTTACCCTTCAAAGCATTTACTTCTACTGAATTTAAGCTTGCTGTTACAACACCAATAAAGGCTAAATGCAAGTTAAATTTAACCAAAAAAATCTACCAATACTATTTAGACAAAGTATGTAAAAGACCTAGAATTTTTTTTTCCAGGAAACCTTTGTACACACTTGAAATCTATAATTTCAGTAAAAATACACGTTTTTCAGTACATACAAAAAAAAATGTAATCTTAAAAGTTTATATTTAAAATATAAGACAACAGTGTAATGAGTTAAAGTGGTTGTAAAGTTTCAGTTTGTTTTAATTAAAATAATATGCTATACTTACTTGCTCTTTGCAATGGTTGTGTACAGAGCAGCCCTGATTTCCTCTTCTTTGGTTCCCCACTGAAGCTCCTGGCCCCTCCGCCTTGCTGAGTGCACGCTGGCACTCGTGCACATTGCTCCCAAGCCGACTCTGTATGTCCGTGAGAGCGCAGCTCGGCCCTGCACCTGCTCCTTTCTCACTGGCTGTGATTCACAGCAGCGGGACCAAATGGCTCCCACTGCGATGTCTCAGCCAATGAGCAGAGGGAGACCTGGGAGACTCGGAGGCTCTCGGGCACAGCGCTGGATTGTGATCAGGCTCATGTAAGTATTGGGGGGGGGGGGGGAGGCGCTGCACACTGAAGGTTTTTTACCTTTATGTGTAGAATGCATGATGGTAAAAAAACCTTCAGCCTTTACAACCACTTTAATAAGTACCAAATATATCCTGCCTCAAAATTGTGTGCAACCTAGGGCAGGATTGTGGAAACATCCCCACTTTCCTCTTCTAAATAACATAGAAGGGAGGAGCACTGTAGTCTTAAAGATAGCTGGAAACAATGTAACTAATGGCAGGATAAGTCAATGTTTTTGCACTCATCAAACAGATATAACAAAACACCTTCAGCTGTACATTGAAAAGGGTCCAAATAAGAGATATTTATTATTAGGGTTTATATACCCTGTAACTTATTTTACAGTTTTGCTCAAAAGTTTGCATAACCTTGGAAAATTGGTAATATACAGTATGGTTTTTAAAGAAAACATGAAAAACACATTTCTTTTATTTCTTATGGGATTCATATTCAACCATGGGTCATAGAAGAATGGAACAATCATAAAACAAAACATGGCAACAAATAAACAAATGAAATGATCCCTTTTCAAAAGTCACCATATCCTTAGTTCTTAATACTGTGTACTGCCCCCTTTAGCATTAATGACAGTGTCCAGTCTTTTGTAATAGTTGTCTATGAGGCCTCAATTCTTGCAGGTGGTATAGCTGCCTATTCATCTTGGTAAAATGCCTCCAGGTCATGCAAAGTTTTTGGTCGTGTTGCATGAACTGCACGTTTGAGATCTCCCCAAAGTGGCTCGTAGATTTTGAGGCCACAAGACTGTGATGGCCACATCAGAATCTTCACCTTTTTCTGCTGTAACCAATGGACGGTCAACTTGGCCTTGTGCTTAGGGTCATTGTCGTGCTGGGAAAGTTCAAGAGTGTCCCATGCACAACTTTCAAGCAAAGAATGTAAATTGTCTGCCAGTATTTTCTGATAACATGCTGAATTCATCTTGCCATCAATTTTCACAAGATTCCCTGTGCCTTTAGAGCTCACACACCCCCAAAACACCAGTGAGCAACCACCATGCTTCACAGTGGGGATTGTATTCTTGTCACTATAGATCTTATTGACCCTTCTTCAAATATAGCGCTTATGGTTGTGTCCATAAAACTCTATCATGGTTTCATCACTCCAGATTACGGTGTGCCAGAAGCTGTGAGGTGTGTCAAGGTGTTGTTGAGCATATTGTAACTGGGATTTTTTGTGGCATTGGCACAGTTATGGCAACTCGACCACACAGCTCATTTTTTGTTCAGGTATCCTCGTACTGTGCTCCTTGAAACAATTTATATCGCCCGATGCCCGAGACATGTAGTTCTGGGCGCAATGTTTGTTAATTTACATCTAGTGGAGTACATGGGACACATCCAGGATCTTTTAGACCCTGGATCTCCCAATAAAGAGAACATTTCACCAAAAATATTCATACAGGGGACTTTTTGTCCACTATGTGATGAAAAAAAAAAGTTAAATGAAAAAAAAAAAATTTTAATTGTAAAAAGAACTTAAGTTACACTCAAGCACAAGTTTTTTTTTTTGAGCCCCCCACTCCTATGTATACACACATACGAACATAAAAGCACACACTGAGGTGCCTACGCATGAAAATGTTGATTGTGACACACATTACATATCGCCGCGCATTCCAGAATGAGAGCAATATTTCTAGAACAAGACCTCCTTCAAAACACTAAAATGATGACCTATAGGGGGCTTTAAATGCGTCACCTATAGAAAATATAGGTTCCTAGAGTTTGTCGCCATTTCATGAGCTCACGCAAATCTAAGGTTTGACATGTTGGATATCTTTTTACTCGATGCAACCTCATCTTTATATTTTACAAAACAATTGGGTAATTTATTGCTTTTTTGTGCCTTAAAATTTGCGTTTGTGGTAATATCGTGTGACATAAAAAACTGGAATAGCATTATTTTATTCTCTAGGGTCTCTGCTTACATAAAATATATAGTGTTTGGGGGTTCTGTGTAATCTTCAGGCCTAAAATTATTTTTTAAAAGTGTGCAAAACAACGCAAAAGAGCTCTGGCAGTGAAAGGGATAAAAGATAAGCTGGACACTCCCCTTTCCTGACGAGCACCCGATCGGTGTTCATTACATTGCAAGGTCTCTCCCTTCCCTGCCAGTCCCTGGGTGCGGTGCTGGAGACAGGCAGGTAGGGGAGGAGGAGATAAACAGCGCAATGTTAAAATTATTAAACGTTTAAGTTGCCATAAAGCCCCTTTTGTTTTTAAAAGTCCCAGACATTCCTAAAAGATGTGGGAAGCTAACTTTTAATTGCCGTTTTAACCTGTGTGTGTCACCTTGTATGTCTGCACCAAGGCCAAACATTACGGGGTATGTAAACTTTTGATCATTGCCATTTGGGTGATTTCTGTTATTAATATTTAAAAAGAAGAAAACAATTATGTGATAATAAATGGTTTCATATGATCACTCTCCTTAATTAAAAGACAGATGTTCTGTCATGATCAGTCACATTTTTAATATCAATGCCAAAATGTCACGATTTCTGCCAGGGTGTGCAAACTTTTGAGCACAACTGTATATCACAAAAGAGCTGATGAACCCCCTATGTGATAGTGTTAACATAGTGATAGCATTTCCTCCTCCAACAGGTGTTCCAGGATTCTGGATTCTTAAACTCGGAAGTGCTCTACAAATTCAAGTTCATTCGGTACATCCTTCTGAATTTATCTACCATGGTCCAGATAAAGGAATCAGATAGGCCTGAGGATCACCAAGGGGAAGGGAAGAGGGCATTTTTGCTCATAAAATGTAGGACCTAGCTCCCAACACAAAAATCCTCAAAAGAACACTACTATCTATGCAAAGCTGAAAAAAAGTGCCATTCATGTACAGTATATAGACATGTATGTATTTGTTCTGTGTAGTTAGAAGGACAATCTACTGCTCTAGAAACATTTTAATATTGAACAGAATTAAGTTCAGCCCTTCAAA